GGTTGAATGTGATTTCAGCACCTTCCGAGCAATTAAGGATACCCGATTGGGTATTCTACATACTCGATCGGGTACATGACCCTGCAAGCCCAAAAAGCCTATAAATACACCCCATTTCCTTCCCATAAAGATTACCAATTCACATATACTCTTTAGCTCAGTTTAGATTAGTGTTTTCTTTATATTTTCTATCATGTTTAGTCTCCAAATGAGGAGCTAAACTCTTCCATCTTGGTTTTGCTACTTTGAAGCTTAATGAATTTGTAAGTTGTGAGTTATTCTCTTTAATCTTCTTCCTTGAATATTAATTCTTCCTTTAAATACTATTTCTATATCAATGTTGGGGAGTGTTACTAAGATGACAATTAGTTAACATCTTGACATTAGTTATAGTAATAGCTATTTCTTCCTCTATGTTAATATTGGGGAGTGTTACTAAGATGACAATTAGTTAACATCTTGATATTAACTATAGTAGGATTCATCTTCTTTAATATTCTTCCTTGAGTATTAATTAATTCCTATTCATATTTCATATTAATATTTTGAACATTACTTAAAGGATCAATTAGTTTTGTTTCATATATTAATTATTACTAGAATCAATCGGTTAATACGCTTGTTATTAATTCGGTTCTTTCAATGGTAGTAAACTTGGGTTGTTAATGCATGCTTCTCATGATTAATAAGCCAAGGGGACTTAATTATATTGAATAAACCAATAAATCGTTTGTGTTGAGGTTATCAATCTCAATCGTTTTCATCTTGATTTTATTGCTACTATCAAGTTAATATACGGCGCTTGTTCTATATTGACTCGGTAGTAAGTTTTATTAAAGAACGCGTCTCGTTATTAATAACTACCCTCGATGAACTTGATATACTCCTCGATTGAGTATTCGAGAGGAAGATAATTAAAGATATAACCGGGATCGACGAACATTTCATTAAGTGGATAAAAGCAAAGCCAAGTCTTCTTCTCATTAAAGTAAACCACATAACTCGTTCATCTTCGTGCTTAAATATAATTTAAGTTCATTCACTCAATCGAAAACCCCCCTTGTTACTAGTTAATTAAAAAGAGAAATATTCCTTTCCCTGTGGATACGAACCTTACTACGCTATACTACGTATAAGTGTTGTATTGTATTATTATTTTGAGTGCACACTACGACAAAGTGCACGTCACCCTAACACCCCAGTTTTTTCAGATGTTGGATTACACAGAACTTGTTGGAAAGTGAGAAGGGCTTGCCTAGCGTCCTTTGAGCAAGGCAATTTCAGACAACTAAGTATGTGATTTCTAAGAGAGGAAGTGTCATGCTTCTTAGACTGACAACAATATGTTTTACCACAATGTATGCATTTTCCTTTGATAACAACACCATTGCTATCTTTGATCTTATCAAACTGATCCCATATTTTACTTCTAGACTCTACTTCCTTTCTCTTATTTCCAGGAACATTTGTCTGCTCTGTGCTGGTGTTAGCCCCCGCATCATGAGCTTCCACCACAGGTTCTTGGGAAATAGGAGTCAGAGGAGGTTGAGAGCCAGAGGCAGGTATGGTATCCATACATTCAACTTCCATTCTGATAAGTCATATGAGTATATAGTTCAAAATCTCTATGCAATTAACACATTGAACAACATCATACATTCACAAATGACAATAAAGTCTGGAACAATCAGCAAGCTGATCTACATAAGAATATAAGCAGTAGGCCTATTCACTTCTCTACAGACTTAGAAGATACCGGTTCACTCTAACTACTCGTTTGAGTGTTGGAGTAGAAAAAGGTAACTTCAATCATCATGTTTACTCAGCAAATTGTATTCACAAATCATCAGAATTCAGAAAATATGTGTATGAAAGTATGAAAGCATCATAATTCTGAATCACAGGCATCACTGATTCACTTAATGCAGCTTCCACCCATGAATATGAACATATCAGAGAAATATGCAGCTTCCACCCATAAACTCATTAAACAGTGAATCACATATTCACAAGCATCATATATAGTTCAAAACTAATGTATATCAATATCTCAGAAACACATAGGCATGAGGCATCATCGAGACATCACATATTCAGAGGCCATCTATATCAAAGTATCAGAATCATAGACTCACATGCATGCCCAATGCATAACACAGATTAACAGGTTGTTCATACAAAGGGTTTCACAGGCCGGATCAAGGGTTTAATGCTTCCACCAAACACATTTAATGATAACACAGGTAATTCGTATACAAAATGATAACACATCACAATTAGGGACCAGGATTCCACCAAAGGCCATTTCAAAGCCAATATTAGAGATCGGAACATGCAATAAATAGTTTATCCAAGCGAACAAAGCAATCAATTTCAGTATTTAACAATTATACCTCACTACCTCAGTAAGAATTAAGATAATCGAACAGGTTGGAAGCTTCCACAAATTCACAAGACAAGACCACAATAGTGATCTAGATACTGCTTCGTAACTCTGGTAGGTTATGATCGGCTTCCACCAAGGCAGAGAGGCACAAATGTACAAACTACAAGTGGATGGATGAGAGAGAGTAGATAGGGATGACCGGAAACAACAGATGAGAGGATGGGTTAGAGAGAGATTGGAGTAGAGGAGAGGGTCAAAGGGAGTTGCCGATTGCGAGTAAAGAGTGAAGTGGTAGGGTTAGGTTTAGGGTTAAATGTTTAGTATATATACCTAGGGCTATTCGGGTTTTTCGGGTGGGTCGGGTAGCCAATTTCTAAACCCTGCTCGCAACCCATTCCCTTAAATATTGGGTTGGGCATATTCGGTTCGGATTTTCGGGTTCGGGTCAACCGACCCAGGTGGGTAAATGGGGGTAAACCCGATCGGGTTTTCGGGTGGGTTCGGGTTCTGCTCACCCCTACCAGCTACTTTTGTCTTGATTTTAAAGGGACAGAAGTGATATATTTTTGAAATTAAAACACTAATAATATAGATATAATAATATATATATAAAAAAAGAAAAAAGAAAGTTGGGTCGTTGGTCAACCTAATATGGTTTGACCGAACATATGTTAGTTGTAACACACGCACGCACGCACACACGCACACACGCACGTGTGTGTGTGTGTGTTATGACTCCCTCCGTCCCAATTTGATTTACAAAGTCAATATTTTTTTTGTAAACCAATGTTAAAGTTAAATCATCCTTATTGATGATTAATTCAATTTTTAACAATTAAAATTTGCACATTTAGAAACTATATTAAAATCTCTTCAAAGTTGCAAACTCCAAATTAGAATATAATTAAAAATTGACATGTTAATTAAGTGAATAAAATGAAACTGTTTGACCAAGAAAGATCAATTTTGTAAATCAATTTGGGACAGATGTAGTATAAGCTTATAAGAGTGGGGGGATTCTTCTAATAACGTTGAAACAAAGAAATGAAAGTTTTTCGTCGAATCCGCGGTCTAGATAAAAAAAAGGATTTATTTTACATTCAAACGAATTAAGGAAAAAATTAAATTAATCTCGTAATTTGATGCGGTTGTGTTGCGGTTACGTTGCGGTTTTTAGAGTGAATTAAACACGCCGCAAATATGGGCTAATCCGCTAATGTGGTTGTTTTGCGGGCTGCAACTGCAATAGTGAGACCTCAAAATGTGGTGTTGATGGCAATTTAAAACCATGTACCTAATGCATACATATAATGGACAAACACATTGTCGTATTTCACTGGTACAACCAAACTTACAATCTCCATACTGCACACATATAAGAGGCAAACATTCGGTTTGAATAAATGTTTACCGAACAGTTTACGTAAGTAAACCCCAACCAAACCAAATCAAACCATCAATTTTAATAATATATGAATTTTTTTTGAGTTTCTTTAGTTCGGTTCGGTTTCTTTAGTTCGGTTCGGTTTTGAGTTTTATCGGTTTCAGTTCGGTTTGGTTTAATACGGTTTGAAAGAAATAGTACCAAACTCAAACCAAATTGCATACGGTTCGGTTTTGGTTCGTTTTGGTCCCTACTAGCTGAGAGTTAATTCTGTGATGTACATTCAGGAACAAATAACACTATGTGCAGGTGTATCATGTATGCTTGCCAGGTAGTCCTGAACTCGGGCCGGGCGGACCGAACCGGGCCCGACCCGGCCCGCTCACTATAGCAACCGGCCCGACCCGGTCCACCGGGCCACAGGCGGTTCGGGCCCATCCGGCCCGGGTGCAGGGTGGTCTGGGCCCGGGCCTTTATTTTCTTGAACCGGCCCGGTCCGGGCCGGGCCCGGTCCGGGCCTAACGGCTAATTTTAAAAAAAAAAAAAATTCTTTTTCAAATAATTTTTGGCCTTGGTCTTGGTCTTTGTAGCCGTTGGGGCTGTTTGGGAGCCTCCAAACGGCTCTATAGCCGTTGGAGGGGGGTGGGGGTGGGGGGGGTGGGGGGTGGGGGGGTGGGGGGGTTGGGGGGTGGGGGGAGAAAAAAAAACCTATTTATACTCCTATTTTCTATACATTTTTTACACCTTCTCTACTCTCTAATTCTCTATTCTCTCAATCTCTAAAATCTTCATTCATCTCCATCTTCATCTTCTATTCTTCTCCAATTTATCTCTACATATATATTATTTATATAAATATTATTATATCTACTTATATATTTATTATCTACTTATATATACATATATTACATTACTAATATTTATTATCTACTTAATATATATTTATTATCTTATAATTAGCTACTTTACATATATATATATATATATATATATATATATATATATATATATTATATAACTTATATTCCTTATCTACTTAATCTCTACTTATTATTAATATATTATATCTACTTATATATTTATTATCTACTTATATATACATATAGTACTTTACTAATATTTATTGTCTACTTAATAGTTAATATATACTTACTATCTTCTTAAAGTAGATAATTTGATATCTAATTATCTACTTTACATACATATATTATCTTCTCCCTATTCATCATCAAGACATCAACCAATCGGCCAATCCACCAAGGTACTCTTCTCTTCTTTTATCCATTAATGGCGTTATATTCAAGTAGTTAATTTGGACATTTTAATTAAAGTATAAAACTAGTTAATTTGTTGCATTTCTCATTAAAGTGTACACCTAGTAAATTTAGACATTTTAATTAAAGTATAAAACTAGTTAATTTGTTGCATTTCTCATTAAAGTGTACACCTAGTAAATTTAGACATTTTAATTAAAGTATAAAACTAGTTAAGTTGTTGCATTATTCATTAAAGTGTACAAGTAGTAAATTTGGACATTTTAATTAAATTATAAAACTAGTTAATTTGTTGCATTTCTCATTAAAGTGTACACCTAGTAAATTTAGACATTTTAATTAAAGTATAAAACTAGTTAAGTTGTTGCATTATTCATTAAAGTGTACAAGTAGTAAATTTGGACATTTTAATTAAATTATAAAACTAGTTAATTTGTTGCATTTCTCATTAAAGTGTACACCTAGTAAATTTAGACATTTTAATTAAAGTATAAAACTAGTTAAGATATTGCATTATTCATTAAAGTGTACAAATATTAAAATATTAAAATATTTGATATACTTTTATATTTGTGAAGATGGAGCGCGGTAGACATTCTTTGGATATCGGAAATCTCCAACGCAACCGAACGAAGGAGATTGCGAGAACTCATCCTAGTTTGCGCAAAAAAAGCGGGCAGTCCGGATCTTCTTCTCAAAGTGGATGGGAGGAAGAACCGGAATACCAACGGCGAGATGGTGAAAGAATGTCCGACGAGCAAGTACAACAACTATTGGCTCAAAATCCTCAATTTTTCCATCAACGAGACATCCCAGACGATATTCACACCATTGACGAAGAAGAGCTCGAGGATGACGATCCGGAGGAGGACGCGGGGGCGCCGGGAGTCACGACACCCCGGATGAGGAGCAAGCGGCGGATTACGAGGGTGGTTCATCCCAAATAGGTACGAAATCTAAATCTCCTATTATAGAAAATAATTTTAAAAAGTATAAAGACCCAAGCACCGAGAAATGGTACGCAAGTTGCAACCATTGCGATAAGGTGTACAGTTTGGGAACTTCGGGCGGATACGGGAGCCTCAAAAGGCATCTTATGGGCAAGCACAAGGTGGAGTACGCAAAAATTGAGAAAGGCAAGGGGAAGCAAACACAAATATCGAGGTTTGCAAATAACCAACCTTATGGTAATTTCTCATACAATGATCAACAAAATTTGACTGGTATGACTAACTTTATAGTTGAAGAAATTTACCTTATTTGTTTTCTGAAAGTGTTTCTTTTAAAGAGTATGCACAAACTTGTTTAAATCCTCAATTTCGAAGTTATAGTCGAAAAACGGTTAAAAAAGAAATTATAAGGCTTTATAAGGCGGAAAAGTTGAACTTACAAATTTTTTTTGCAAACTATGATGGACGTGTTATTGTTTGTTCTGACATATGGGAGGACACCTATCATAATTTACATTATTTGGGTTTGACTGCACATTATGTCGATGATGATTGGAATATGCATAAACGTGTTCTTGCTTTTCGTGAATTTAATGATCGTCACACCGCCGAACATATTTATATTTTGATTGAGCGTATTTTAATTGAGTATAATTTGGTTCATAAGGTGTTTGCTATAGGTTTTGATAATGCTACTAATAATACTGCTGCTATACCTAGATTGCGTGAATTGTGTGGTTCTACTACTTTGATGGGTAGATTTTTTCATCAACGATGTGCATGCCATATAATAAATTTATGTGTGCAGGATGGTCTAAAAGCGTTGGGAGATGCTATGGAGGTAGCGAAGGGGGGGATTAGACGTATTTGGGCTAATGGTCAACTTAAATTAAAATGGAAAAATTATTTGAATGAAAGAAATGTGAAATATGTTGCTTTTCCTAAAGATTTGTCTATTCGGTGGAATAGTTCTTATAAATTAATTAGAGTTCTTATTAGATATAAAGAACATTTTCCTGCTTTTTTAAAAGAATATGATAACTACATTTTAAACTCCGCTCACATCGACACTTGCGAAAAAATTTGTAATGTTTTGATATTTTTTAATAATGCAACTGAAAGTTTTAGTCATGTTTATAAACCTACTTCAAACGAATTTATGCGTGAACTTGTTAATCTCGCCGGTGCTTTTAATGAATTTCAAAATGCCGATTATGTGAGCTATTTTTGTACTTTTATGAAGGAAAAGTTTTTAAAATATTATGCACATATTCCACATATTTATGGTATTGCATTTATTCTCGATCCTCGTTATCGACTTGGTAATTTGGAACAATGTTACAAGTTCTATTATCAATCTTTTTATGGTGATTTTCCAATGTATGAAGATAACCCTATAGATCCGCAATCTGAATACAACGAGGTTAGTAGTTTATTTTATTCTTTATTTAATGAGTTTCGTGCACAATATGGCAACATGCCCCCTCCCCCAACCCAAACATCTTCATCTAAAGGAAAAGGTTTTTTTAAATCTGCATTTGGCAATCTTATGAAAAAAGCTAAAACAACGCACACTGCTGAACAAAGCACTATTAATGAGATTGCTTTGTATATTAACTATGAGGTTGAGTTTGTAGAAAATGAAGATTTTGACGTCCTAAAGTGGTGGAAGTCAAAAGAAAGAACGTTCCCGATTTTGGCACGGATGGCTAAGCAAGTACTATCAATGCCGGTTTCAACAGTTGCCGTGGAACAAGAATTTAGTTCGGCCGGCAACGTCCTAACTAAATCGAGAACGTGTTTGAGTGCCGAATCTCTTGAGACGCTTATATGCTACCACGATTGGTTGAAGGCAAGACGTAGAACTCAAGAACTTAGCCTCATCCCCTCCTAGGGATGGACCCGGGCCGGGCCGGTTCCGGTTCCGGGCCGGGCCCGGGCGGGCTTTTTTTGGGGAATGTTGGGCCCGGAACCGGCCCGGGGTGATACCGGGTCCGGTTCGTGCCGGGTCGACCCGGTCGGGTCCGGGCCGGGCCGGGCCGGGCCCGGGCTTTAATTTTTTTTTTTTTTTTTTTTGATACCAAAATTAAATTAATATTACTTGGACATAAAAAAGGGTAAAACATATTTATTTGATATTTGTAGTACAATTGAAAATTGAGTAAAAATAAAAACATGAAATACACTTTATAATAAGTAATGAAGTATGAATCAATTAGAATTTCCTCCATCTTCAGTTGTTTCTTCCATAAAGTGGCGAGTGGGTTCAATGCTTATTTCTTGAGTTCTACGTTTGGCCTTCAACCAATCGTGGAAGCAAACAAGCGTCTCAAGAGAGTTTGCGCTTAATCTCGTTCTATAATCCGTTAGGACGTTGCCGGCCGCACTAAACTCTTGTTCCACAGCAACTGTTGATACCGGCATTGCTAGCACTTGCTTAGCCATCTTTGATAAGATCGGGAACGTTCTCTCTTTTTCCTTCCACCACTGAAGAACGTCAAAGTCATCCCCTTCTTCATAATCAACAGGAAATGTTAGATACAAAGAAAGCTCGTTGATCGAGCTTTGTTCATTAACCGGAGTTGATTTACTTTTTTTCATAAGATTGCCAAATGCAGATTTGAAAATTGATTTTCCTTTAGATGAAGAAGATGTTCGTGGCGGGGGAGGGGGTGCGTTACCATATTGTGCATGAAACTCATTAAATAATTGATATAATAAATTACTAACCTCTTGGAATTGTTGTTTAGGGTCTATGGCCTTGTCGTCGTACATAGGCAATGGACCAAAAAAAGAAGCATAATAGTAATCTAAACATTTCTCCAAAGAATAAAGTCTAAAACGAGGATCAAGAACAAATGCAATACCATATATATGCGGAATATAGGAATAATATTTTAAAAACTTTTGTTTCATGAAGTCACAAAAATAACTAACGTAAGCGGCGTCAGAGAATTCAGAAAAAGCGCCGGCGAGATTAACAGCTTCAACAAAAAATTGGTTTGCGGTAGGTTTATAAACATGACTAAAAGTTTCAGTGGCATTATTAAAAAACACCAAAACATTCACAATTTTTTCACAAGTGTCGATATCGGCCGGGTTTATAATATAGTTAGCATATTCTCTTAAAAAAGCGGGAAAATGGTTTTTATATCTAATAAGCACTTTAATTAAATTATAAGTACTATTCCAACGAATAGACAAATCTTTAGGAAAAGCACAATATTTGACACGTCTTTCTTTCAAATAATTTCTCCATTGCATCTTAAGTGGATTACTAGCCCAAATCAGTTTAATCCCCCCCTTGACCACCTCCAAAGCATCTCCCAACGCCGCAAGACCGTCCTTTACACATAAATTTAAAATATGACATGCACAACGCTGATGAAAAAACCTACCCATCAAAGAAGATGAACCACACAATTCACGCAATCTAGGAATAGCCGCAGTATTATTAGTAGCATTATCAAAACCAATAGCAAACACCTTATCAATCAAATTATACTCAACTAAAATACGCTCAATGAGAATATAAATATTATCGCCGGTGTGTCGATCATTAAATTCACGAAAAGCAAGAACACGTTTATGCATACACCAATCATCATCAATATAATGTGCAGTCAAACCCAAATAATATAAATGATGATGAGTATCCTCCCATATATCACTACATATGCTAACACGGCCATCAAAGTTTGCGAAAAATATTTGTAATTTTTCCTTTTCCAAAACATATTGCCTTATAACTTCTTTTTTAATTGTTTTGCGACTATAGTTTCGAAATTGAGGATTTAAAGTACCTTGAGCATATTCTTTTAAAGCAAGACTTTCGGAAAAAATAAAAGGCAAATTTTCTTCAACAATCAAATGTGACATACCAGTCAAATGTCTTTGATCATCATAGGAGAAATTACCGAAGGGTTGGCCACTTCCAAATTTTGAAATTTGTGTTTGCTTTCCCTTGCCTTTGTCTGATTTCGCATATTCCGCCGGGTGCTTGGCCTTAAGATGCCTTGTGGCGCTCCCGTACCCTCCAGAAGTTCCCAAGTTATACTTCTTTGGGCAATGCTTGCAAGTGGCGTACCATATCTCGGTTTGGGGGTCTTTAAATTTTGTAAAATTTGCCTTAAAGACTGATTCAGCTTTCTCACCGCCTTGGGAAGAAGTAGCCACTTCCGCTTGCTCTTCATCATCGTACGGTGTGCCATGAACCTCGTGCTCGACCGTTTGCGGATCCCTCTCCTCCGCATCATCATCCTCGAGCTCTTCTTCGTCAATGGTCGGGATGTTTTGTTGATGGAAGAAGGCCCCTTGATTTTGTTGTAATAGTTGTTCTACTTGCTCATCGGACATCGCAGACCCATATCTTTGGTTATAATCCGCATCAAAATCATCTCGGGTTTGAGATGAAGCCCCGGCCCGTCCCTTACCTTTCTGCAAGCTTGGATGATTCCTCGCAATCTCCTTTGTTCGGTTGCGGCGGAGGTTACCCATATCTACTGAAGCTCTACCACGTTCCATCTTAAAAATATAACAAATATTAAATTCGAAGTACAATTAAACTAGTGAATTTCAAATACAAATCTAACAAATCGAACTACAATGTAACAATTAAATTCGAACAATTAAATTGACTAGAATGTAACAATTAAAATGTACCAATTAAATTAACTTTTATTATAAAATTTGAACAACTTCAATATAAATAACAATTAACTAGTTCAATAGGAGAAATTTTAACTAGACATTAAATGTAACAATGCAATGAAATTTAGAGGAGAATAATAAATGTAACAATGAATTAACTATTTTGATAGGAGAAATTTAACTACTTTTATATTAAGTGTATAAGTAGATAAAGTAAATATATATATTTAAAAGTAGATAATAAGTAGATTAACTAGTAATATATAATATTATGTTTATAGTATATATAATATAAATATATGACTATAAGATGAGGAATACACTTAATATATTAAGTAGATAAATTTTCGAACAACTATAATATAATTAACAATTAACTAGTTTGATAGGAGAATAATAAATGTAACAATTAACTAGTATTAGAGGAGATTAAGAAATGTAACAATTAACTAGTTTAACAAGTAAACAATTAATTTCGAATTCTTGTCTAACAAATTTTAATGTAACTATTTCCAATAAACTAACAACTACCAATTAACCACTTATATAGCAATGAACTAATACTAAAAGTCTAAAATGATAAGTGAAACAATTAACAACTTTTATATTAATGAAGAATGTATTAGTGTGTAAACAAAATTAATGGGAATGTTTGATAGGAGAATAATAAATGTAACAATTAACTAGTATTAGAGGAGATTAAGAAATGTAACAATTAACTAGTTTAACAAGTAAACAATTAATTTCGAATTCTTGTCTAACAATTTTTAATGTAACTATTTCCAATAAACTAACAACTACCAATTAACCACTTTTATAGCAATGAACTAATACTAAAAGTCTAAAATGATAAGTGAAACAATTAACAACTTTTATATTAATGAAGAATGTATTAGTGTGTAAACAAAATTAATAAGTAGATAATATTATGTTGATAGTATATATAATATAAGATGACTAACAAGATGACTAACACACTTATATATGTAGTAAATATATATTTATAAGTATATAATAAGTAGATAATATTATGTTAATATTACTACAAGATGACTAACACACTTATATATTATACTTTAATATATAAGTATATTACTATAAGTTGAGTAATACACTTATATATTATACTTTAATATATGTATAACTAATATAAGTATATATTAAGTATATGTAATATGTGAATATAAGTAAATAAATATACTTATATAAGTAACAATAATATAATAATTAGATATTAATATAAGTAGATAATAAATTATATAAATATAATATATGTAGTAATAAATTTGAGAAATTGAGAAGATGAAGATGGGAAAGATTAGTAGAGAATAGAGATTAGAGATTTAGAGAGTAGAGATATTTGGAGAAGATGTGTAGTAAAGTGTATAGAAAAAATGGAGTATTTATAGATATTTAGTACCCCACCCCCACCCCCCACCCCCCCCACCCCCCACCCCCCCAACCCGGGACCCCCTGGAAGGCTCCCAACGGCTATAGAGCCGTTTGGGTTGAAAGCCAACGGCCATAAGGCCTGTTTGGCTGAAAAACAAATTTTTTTTTTTTTTTTAAAAAAGTAACCGTTAGGCCCGACCCGGGCCCGAACCGGCCGGGCCGGGCCACCAAACAAATGAACCGGACCCGAACCGCCAAACCCCCCCGGGCCGGGTCAAAGCCCGAACCGGTTCACCAGTCCCGGTTCCGGGCCGGGCCTGCACAGTGGCGGGCCGGGCCGGTTCCGGGCCGGGCCGGCCCGGTTGAGTCCATCCCTATCCCCTCCCAAGACTTTATGGATGAATCAACCGATGGTGGTTCTACCTATGCCGGGGATTCCGATTGATTAGTATTTTACAATTTATTATTTTATCCTCAATTCTCTATTGTAATTTGTGAACTTGTAGATTTGTAGTACATATTTCAAATCAATAAAAGTTAAATTTTTTATATGTCGCATTTTTTAATTATATTATATTATTATTACTTAATACAAAATGTATTAGAATTAATTGTTCTCAATTCTCAAAATGTACTTATTACTTATTTCACATAAATGTACTTCAAGATTGTTTTTAAATAATTTTAATATCCAAGATTCCAAGTAGATGTATAAGACTATAAGTTAAAAAAAAAAATTATTCAAGGCCCGACCCGACCCGCCGGTTCACCCGGCCCGGGGCCCGGCCGGGTCACCCGGCCCGAACCGGCACCCGCTTACAGGCGGGCCGGGCCCGGGCCTTACATTTCCGAACCGAGGCCCGGCCGGGCCCAGGCCCGAACCGGGCCCGAACCGGCCCGAGTCCAGGACTATTGCCAGGTGGAAGTTAGGGAATGCACTCAACGGCTACATGCTACTCACGAAGATCGCTAGACGTTTGGGGATGAAGATTCAATGTTGATGAACAAGTGGAAGGCAACCCGTTGTGGTGGAGCAGTGATCACCGGTTGTTTCTCACAGAGCCAGTTGTAGGTAAACGGGAGTTGTCAAGCACCTCTCGCCGGAAATATCACATGAGGAAGAGGACGTACGATAGCGTATGTACTAAAAAGTTTTACTGAAGAGCCCTGGCATTGGCAATAGATTCAAACCTGTAGACTCAAGCCAATTTTGTGCTGGAAATCTTGCTGGGTCAGATTCTTTGGTGGTTGGTATATTATTTTGGGTTAAGTTTCTTCTCTGTGCCAAACCATTTCCCTTGAGCTGGAGAGTGAGATGTGTTTAGGGCCATTGGTCTTCTAGGATGGGCCAAATAGCCAGGCGAGACGCTACAGTTGGAACATACAGTTCGATTTCTGTAATTCAAATATCAGCCCTCCCTCCAGAGTCCAGCCATTTCCGCAATTTGATATCCCCAATCTTAAAAAGACACAGTGGATGACTGTATGACTATAAATGTACATATATATATATATAATTATATACACAACATGGTCAGGTTTTGAGTGAAGATGTTACCATCTTTCACCAGCCAGAAGTCCATTTATAATCAGAACATGGCTGGCAAACTGCAAAGCTAAATACAAGGTTACACATCTTTTCAAACTAACGCATAGACACCAATTTAATTAATGCACACCACGGTATATCGCACCCGGGCAAAGCTCATCCATGCTATCAATATTTCGGTAACTATCTCGTAAACACCTCCACCCACGGCGTGACAAGAAGTCGCGGAAGTCTTCCTCGTTGTAGAATGTCTTTTCCTCTGTCGAAAACGCCACATCTTCTGCCTCCTCATACATGCATATTTTTACAGACAGGCCTGCAAATTTTAACGAAATTTGGTTGCTAGCATCTTTTAACTGGATTCTTTGGTGGGTGGGGCGGCAGAATATAGGATGTTGATACCTCTATATACTTATTAAAATTGCCAAAGTAACTTTATAGTTTTTTAAGGTTTAATGCATCAAAGTGATCAAACCTATATGATATCCAGATTTTGTACATTAGTCCCTAGTTAAAAATGCATCCCTTCATCAACCAAGCTAAGGACTATCTCCTCTGCACTTTACCATATACATGCACATGAAGATGTCATACATCATCAGTCGTCGCAACACATACGTTGCAGGGGCTTTGCTCGTATAATGGTGACACGTGCAGTGCATTAAGTGCACCCCTCATTTATTGCCACTATAAATACCCTACTTTGGGAAGTTGTAAGGATTCGAAAAACATTTATAGCAGATTGTTTTTTATATACGGAGTATTACTTAGCTTTGCCTAGTCTCTGGAATACCACTCGCGGTTTCTGGTACAACATCAGAGGTTTTAATGTTGTTTTTGAATTATGAGGGGCTAATATTTAGAATGTGTATGTCAAATGGGATGTAGATGTCTCCAACATTTCAGCCAACCCACAGACCAATGAGACCATGATGTTAACCACTAGATAAACCCCTCCCAGCCATTCTCAGAGTCAAACTAGCGATCTCTAAGACTTTTTAATCCTGGGTTCTAATACAATTGAGCCATCCATCCGGGTTAAGTAATTGAATTGAATGGCATTACCTTCATCAACATGCAAAGTGTAGCTCCCCAAAGGCATATCTCGATCAAGTGCTCTTACTACATTGTCTTCATCTTCCAGCCAAAAGGCACGCTTTGTCCTCAATCCAAAAGCACATTTAATTGCTTCTTTAATGGCATCTGCACTGCCATCAATACCAATCCTCTTTGTGTAATCTACCCACCTCACTGAAATCACTCTGCCTTCCAATACATTGCCTTGATCACCTATGGGGCAAAAATGGTGAAAGTTTAAAGTATAATACATATACAATATTGAATGTTAACTACCTTTGTTTTAAAAAAATGGGTTTAAAAAAAATTCATGATCATAGAAGAACCGATTGACCAGGTCTGAAAATTTGACCGACTTGTTACACAAGGCAGTATCACTATATCTCATCTCATTTAAACAAATGAGAGAATACTACATGAAACTGACAGGGCAGATTCCAAATTTCTCACTTCATGGACCATATACATTTACTGAATAGCTTTGCACTAATTATAATTGTCTAAAAGTAACTTTTTAGAAGTAACATAAAGGTTTCAAAATACTAGTCCACTCCTCTAATTAAAGTTCCTACTTTAAGTTTCTTCCATGTCTATATTTTACCATCATTATATACAATGAAATATTCATATGGTTTATAGTAAATTATCATTCCAAAAATATATACTAATTCAAAATTATTTAATGTATGTTTCTGTTAAATAACGAAAAAATTTAGGGCGGATTGAGTATTATTTAAACACAATTAGCAATCAAAGTTAACAAACATTTACTCCAAAAGTCAAAATGGGGACTTTAAACAGGGACAGAGTGAGTATTAGTTGAAGGCTCAACCATTTCCAGGAGTTCCTCTCCAATTC